AGCACCTTAAAGGAAATGACTTTCACTTACCAGAACAGATGTACATGGCCTGCAAGAAATACCAAACAAGGATGGGGAAAAACCCCAAATCAAACAAACAAACAAAACAAAACCCCAACAAAATCAAAACCAACCAAACAAATGAACAAAATCAACTTGGTCAAGAAGAAAAGAAACCATATTTGACAGGGAGAGATGGGGGATCACCTCCAAGGGTGATAAACTTTTTCAGCAGTAGGCATGGCTGGAACCCCAAATTTTCTTCATTTTTTCAGGTGACTGCTGCCAACCCTCTCCAATACATTGTGATTACACAGACGTTGTAACCCCAGCCTCTGTGGAAGGCTTAAAGGAATTGTTACCTTCCCCAAAACTACACGGCAAGGGTAGAGGAGAATAACTCCCCCCCCTCCCCCCAAAAGTGGAGATTTAGTGGTCACTGTTACACTGAGCAAAGAAGACCACAGCTGTTTTTGTCTCTGTCATKGACGCCAACATCCTTTTGCAAGGTCATTGCTGGAGGATTTATTCATTCCATGACACAAGCAGGTCAGAATTTAGTCCAAACTTTGACCCGCTACAGTCGCAAAAAAAATGTAAATTATTCAATTTAAATAATTCAATGGTTCTGTACAAGAACTATAAAAGAAAATCCAGTTCTGCAGCTCCAGAAAACTCAGAGTATCTCAGCCAGTACACCAGTGAGGTTGCTTGAAAATGCCCTAAATAGTGACCAGGGTAATCTTGGATTTTGGATAAAGGGCAAGGGAAGGTATGTGGGCTCACCTATTCCCTGTTCCAGCGTCARCTCCCTCATGGGTCAGTCTCCCTCACTGTAGAAAGATGGGTAGCCTGGGGTGCTGGGGGGTTCCAAGGGACACTGTCCCCCAGAATGAAGAAGACATCAAGGGCAAATGATGGCAGGTTCACCAAGTCTGATTTCTGCCCAGTATCCCTGGRCACACCACATGACCCAGAGTGCTCTTGATCTGGCTTCCTCCAGAGAGCTGCCAAAATACCCAACCCTTTCTCAGGTTTGGATGTGAGGAACGAGGCTTGAGGGGGAAGTTCTGGTCCTCACTGCCCTTCAGGAACCATGGGCACCAGCGGCCCAGCCTTGCCACTAAGAAAGGGTGTGGTTGAACAGTAGGAGCCGCCGGGACTGCTTGCATGGATTGCCAGAGTGCTTTGATCTTGTGCCTCGACGGCCCTGATAAAGTGTGGTTCTGTATATGCATGCAGGTTCTGTGTATGCATTTTGTGTATAATACATCAGTAAAATGTAAAATTAATATTTAGAATTTATTATTAATATCAATAAGTCCAAAAAAAAAAAAAAAAAAAAAAAAAAAAAAAAAAAAAAAAAAAAAAAAAAAAAAAAAGCATAAACCCTAGCTGTGTAACTGTGTTTCTCATCTCGCTTCTGTGCTGCGGTGTTTTCAGGTACATGATATATCATATCATTCACCAACAGGAAGCTCTGGAAAACAGCTCCCGAGATCCAGGGCCCAGGGTGGCCGTTTGGTGGTTGGGTATGTAGGCGGAGAGCCCCGGGGAGGATGTGGTAAGGTGGTCGAGGCATTTCCAGCCGTTCCGCGGAGGAGGATTTTCTTAGGTCCCCTCCAAAACTGTTTTCTTTAGGATCTTGGAGTCCCGTTCAGCTGCTGAGCGGGGCATTCCTGCCTGACCCGGCCTTTCTTGGGGGGCCGCTTTGGGCCGGGAGGCCCCGCCGGGACCCGTGCCGCGGCACACGGCGTCCCACAGCCGGCGCTCCTTGCCGGTAGATGGCATCCCGCGTCCGCGCAGACCAGCGCCCGGAGCGGAGCGGCGCGGAGCGGGAGCGGCCGCGAGGTGGGGACCAGGGCAAAGCCCGCGGCCCCGGCGATGGCGGGGTCTTACCAAGGGAAACGCCACTCTGCCACCGCAGTTCGCCTTCCTCCTTTTCTTTCTTGCCTTTTCGAAACGGCACGTGCCGGGTTTGGGACGGGAACGATCAGAAGACGCTCAAAGACATTTCGSGATCTCCAGGGGCTGTAGCCGCACCAGGTCATAATTGCCGGCACTGGAGGCTGACTTAACTGACCCCCAAAAAGGAATCCCCTCAGCAGCCCACACACACAACGCACACACCCCACAGCGACAGACGAGAGTTTGCCTTCCAGGGGGGTCCCCACCATTACCCCCCTAAGTCATCCCGATCGGCCACATCCAGAAAGAGCCGCAGCCCAGCCGTGGCTCCCRGCATCTCGGTGCTAACGAAAAGCCGCCAGTGTCATACGCTCAGTGAAACACTCATGCATCCTGTTAGCAGCGGATCGAGGGTAGACTCCGGGTCTTTTAGTTAATCCCTACGGTGGTTCTTCCCCGTCCATTTTTAACTTCACGTTCTTCATACTTAAGAGCCTGGGATTTTTGTTTTTAAGACGGTTTTGAACGTTCAGGCTGGGAGAAGATGAAAAATAAATGGGAGAGAATAAAGGAACTAGAAAACTAAAATACTAACTCTTCATAAAGTGAAGAAACCCCTTGAAAATTAAAAATCCTGTCTACCTTTCTTTTAATAGCTTGCCCAAAGACTTCAAAACTAATTCGAGGAGAGATGTTATGAACTGTAAATCTCGAGTGATATCTATTTTTCTAAAGAAAAAAATAATAGTTACTGGGTCTAGAGGTTCTTTTTTTCCTTCTTCTTTCCTTTTTCTTTCCTGTTTTGTAACTTTTGGTGGTATTGTCCTGCAGGCGCCTTAGTAGTGAACAAAATGTAAATAGGATTATTTGGAAATAGTAGAAAGGATTATGTTGTAAATCCATGGAACTGGGTTTGAAACAGGGTGGCTTATAGCTTTTTCGGTGAGGACAATATATCGAAAACGTATTTCAAGAAATAGGATGTGTGGATTATTTGAACAGCGAGATCAATAGGACTTCATGCATCAGTCCACCCTTCTCACGACGATTTCTGCTGAAGATTGAAATGCTCCCCTACTCCAATCCCAGTCAGATCCTGATTGTGGTTTATCCTGCCAGAACTGGGAACGATGGGATTTTTCAAAGCTTTTCTTTTTAAGACCATGGTAATTACATTTCTCTCCAAATTTGTGGGGGTTTTATTTTGTTTGGGTTCTTTAGTGGAGTTTTTGTTGGATTTTTTTTTTTTTTTCCTGCCAGCCCTTACATAAAGGGAGGCCCGGTCTTCTGTCGTCGCGTAGATCACCTGAAAAGGGGAACAGTGCCACTAAATTAGCAAGCAATCCTCTGTCGCTTTCTAACGGGTGTTGCACCCACTCAAAGTCCAAGTCCCTTTTTGAAGGCCAGTGAATTTATTTCCTTTGCATACAAAAGAGGTAACCCTAATTCTCTGTTAATGTTTCTCATAATGGAGGAAGCTGCTTCTCTGTCTTTAATAACAATAGCCTTACAAATAAACTGAGAATAGCGGTGTGTTTTGGAGGCTCTTCTTTGAGAGCTTGCGAGGTCGACGCAGAGAGACATTTTATTTCATTCTTAAATAAATTAAACTCTGGAGGGTGATGGGGGACAGGAAGGGAAGGATGTTTCTAAACCATTCAGCGGACAGAAGTCTGAAGTTTCTTAACTCACCATCTCCCTCTCCGGTGTGATTTTTTTCTTCTTCTTTCCCAGGGGATGCAGCACCCCGTTCCTGAGGGCAGCCCGGGAAGACGCGAAGCTCCTAGACCCTCCGGACGGTTGCTGGGAAGATGCTCCTACACTTTGAGACAGACTTGCCCTTTTTTTTTCCGGGGGGTGGGTCAAGTGTTATCTTTATTTTCCCCTTTTTCCATTAAAGATGGCACCGGTCTCTCCGCGGCCCCCCCAGAGCCTCTCCTGGATGGGGTGAGGCCGGGGTGGGGGGAGGGCCGGGACTGTGCGAGGCGCCCTTCTTGGTGGGGGGAGACACGGCGCTGCTCCCCCTGCCGCGCTCTGACGCTGGGAGCCATGTGATGGCCCCCTCACTATAAGGCGGGGAGGAAGGCCGCCCTCCCTGGGACTAAGCCCCAGCCTTTTCACCGTCTTTCCTAAGGCCCGACAAGCCGTCCCCTACGCCCTCCCTCCTCGTCAGCCTCCTCCCCTCCCTCTCCTCCTCCCAGGACTAGGCGCGCTCCCTCCTGCCCCGCATCCATTAATGTCTGGGGGCTGAGGTGAGGAGAAAGAAGGGGAAACCGACTTCCAGGAGCGACGGCACAGCCTCCCTGCGCCCACAATCCCCGATCCCAACCGAAAACACCCGAAAAAGATCCCCAAAAAGGGGGAAGGGAGAGGGAAAAAAAGAAAAAGAGAGAAATCCAAACGGCAGCAAAAAATACCCCGAAACAAAACCCAAACCAGCCGCCGCCTCCGAGCGGGCGGCGGGAGCGCTCCGGAGTCGCGGCAGCGGCGCTGGGGGCCGGCGAGGCTCGGAGCGGCCCGCC